GAAGGTTTTTTTGTCCTCGTATTGCACTTCTTCCAGCTCGTCCCCCTGTTCTCACATCCTTAATCTCTGGTCTCTCGCCCATCCAGCAGTGTCTCCCCTCTTCGAGCCCTCGTCTAATCCTGGGACGTCATTTTGGGCATCTTAACGATTCTGCACACTCTATTCTTCACTGATAGGTGAAATACTGTCTACAAATCCGCACTCGGATCTTAATGTTCATGACCTGCATCCGCGGAATGTGTCTTTAACTCAGACTGGGGCTGACACCTCTTTGGCTATGACCCCACTGAACTCCATAGAAAACCTTCTCTAATTAGCGCGTAGATTTCTACTGTTTCAACCACTAGAAACATTCTCAACAAGTAACCAATAACATGTTACATGTAAGTATATAGCTTACCTTCAAATGCGATATCTCGATCTCCTACACATTCGTACCCGTTTTTCGTGAACCATTGCTCGAAGAAATACCTGGAATACTGCGTTACAACCGTCATGCTACTGTACTGCCGACATTGTGCTATGACTCACTTAGGCTGTATTCGTTTCGCACAACTTCATGACTTGAGCAACTCTGCCGCGCAATAATCGGAAACGCGACCCACTACGCTTCATCGCTGGACTACTGCACAGGGTACAGCATGTGATGTGTGAGGTGGTGGTATAGATACGACCCCTTCCGAGAGAGGGTGTCAGTACGACCCCTCCCCCCACACCTAGATGAGGGTCTTGGTACGACTCCCCCTTTCCCAACACCTACCTACAAATCTTCACTATTTCCCAGTTTTTCACCCAAAAATTTCTCTGTCGAGCGGAGGGATACATAGCAGTGGAGGGAAAATTTCTTAGATTTTCCCCAACTTCCTACCACTTTTTTCCGAATTTCCCGAAAATTTTCCTACTTTTTCCCTAAAATTTTGCTGTCGAGCGGGGGGGGGGGGTATACAGTGCACATGAAACAGGAAAAATCACGGAAAAGTCAACAACTGGAAAAAGTTTTTCCCAACGCGACAAATTTCTCTCAAAGGCACATACGAGCCCTCTCTCCCCAGGGAAAGAGTACGGCCTCTTTATGGGTTCCACACAGCGATGCTGTACCCTGCTACTGCAGCTACCAACCATATTCCGTTCCAGGGCAAAATACCGTTGGGGCAAATCTATAGAGACGGTCGTTTGTTGGTGAGGTGGGGGCGTAATAACAGGATCGCTCAATACTAACTAACGTAGCAATGTCCCAATATCATCTCCTCTATCGAGATCATAATAGAATTTCTTTTAACTCCGACCTCAGAGGAAATGATTGTGATATGGAAAAAGTCCATATTATAGTACTACTTATACTACTATCCCCTGGAATATGGCCTACGACTGCCATCCTACTCTTTTACAGCAGGCTATTATACGACTCCCACTTCATAGAATTAACCTCCTCGCTCTGCAAACTTTATCGCCGAGTAAGTGCAAGGCTGGGAGAGGCTTAATAAACCCTTCGATTCCTCCCCTCTCCTCCCAGTTCCCGAACCCATTTAAACTAATGCCATCTAGGACAATAGAATTGTCTCCCTAACACTGAGTAGCCCCCCCCCCCCCCGAAATATGTTGAGTCCGCGATCTGACCTGCAATGTCCGGCCCGGTGCGCCATCTCTGCAGTAGGGTGATTCCGGAATCACGCAGCTCACTCTCTCAAGTTGCGAAGTATGTACAAAGCACTACTTTAACATAACAAGGGCGCACAGAATCCTAAACTTGCGCGTGGAATTGAATGCTTGGGGTCCGTCACGCAACACCATCACTGCGCACACACGCAGGATGTTGCCACGTCCTAGGCTTACCGCCCTCACTTCACTGAATCACGGCGAAGCTTTCCCTTGTTATCCTGAGCTTATGATCTTCTACGCTGCAATATAGGTTCAAAGTGTTTTATATTTCTTCCATGTTTGTTGGGACCCCGAACTTCCTACCCGAATAGGTAGGAGGCTCGAGGTGACCTGACTAAACTGACTGATCTATCTTCCTCTAATCAGGTACCTTTCTCCTTTTCGCTCCGGATGGGCAAAATTGGCTAGGTAGGCTCGATTACCCTTGACCACGGCAGCATTCGCGGAGAACACCATGTCGGGAAATGATTCAGCTCCCTGAAAACACGCCCATTTTACATTTTAAGGTTACAATTGACATAAAACCATGTAATATTCAATGTGGGCTCATTACGATGCGCTCAAGGGCATTTCAAAAATCCTCAATGAGCAATAGAAGCACTATTTGGTATACTCCTCATATTAATCTTATTTTGACAGCATTTCCGCAAGATTCATGTTTTCTGCAGCATTTCAGCAATATTAGGCCTCCTGAAGAATTCAAAAATACTCTAAACTTGATTTTGAGTCGCGACATGGCTTGCTCAAAGTAGCCTTCACTTGAACATGGAGGAGATCAGGCAAGGTATATTAGTCGCTGACCTTGCATCTCGCCTTAGGGTGGGAGAATTACGTGAACAGGACTTGTCACGTATGCTTTTTCCCTTCCGCTCCCTCCTCACTCCCCGCATTAGTTTGTGCATTAGTTCCTCGATTCTGCTCCAAAATAACTATGCCGTTTTCTATTACATTACTTTAGCAGATGACAGTA